AAAAATTATATTTGATTACGCCCGTTAGTCGTAAACCTCAAACGCACTTGCTATACTGCCTATTTTATCTCCGGAATTGGGATTGATTTTCTTGACTGCACAAAAGTTTGGTCCACAATTGAGATAAATTGTTTATTAGGCAATTTGAGTAAGTGTTGAGATAATGTACGGGAGAGGAGACTTTGGTTCCTGTGTTGAAAAGACCGACAAGTTTTTAACGTTTTAAGATAAAGTAAACATTTTAAAAAGACCCAAATTCTTGCCAAAATATGATACAAAAATTTTTTATATATTCATATCTTGGCATAAAATCGAAACTGGTATTCTCTATAGAAACATTATTTTGAATTTCATAAACAATTAATTTTTAAATCGATAAATAAATTAAATTAAAAAAACAGTGACTATTTATTTGTTTTTTTTTCCCCCCTCACACAACCATAGCTAAGGCTAAGTCAAAGAATTTACATTTTACATGGGCTTTTTCGTCTAGAGATGGTTCCTAATGCAGTTTTCTTGTAAGCCTGCCTGCATATGAAGTGTTGCTTACCAACGGGCTAAATGGTTTTTTGAAGCAGTAAGATGCAATTCGGACAAGAGTGAATACCAAAAATCGCCGACAACTCAGGGCAATTAGTCAAATTTCATTGGCTTGAGCGAGCAGCGGCTTTTATTTTATTTGGTAATCTCTTAAATATGCATAACGAAAAGAAAACAATCCTCGGGACTATTTATTCTAATTTCGTTGGAGTCAAGACGAACCGGTTCCTCAGGCACATGAACCCCACAACTGACCTTTTAGGTGCGGCCAACTCGTGCGTATCTAAATCTTAATTTTTTGGTTCCCGACACCTTCTCCAATCGAACCCCTCGACCTTCCATGGCACAGGATAACTGCTTAAATTGTAAATACATTTTCATTTCACTGATATAAGTGTGCCGCTGGTGATAAGGGGAATTTTTAGGTTGATTTTTATGTTTGTTTGGCTCAGGTGGAAATTTTTAATTGGTCATGGTCTTTGGTCAGCATTATTTGGATGGGGCTTGCGTTCTTTGTCTACTTTAATAAAAACGTATTCAATACATTTTGGCTACTCATCATCAGCTTCGAAAGAGTTCCTTTGGCTGTTGAATTTGTTTGCACTGTGCATATACTTAATGCAAAGTGTTTTTATTCATAATTTATTATGTATTTATAATACATAATGCTTATTGTATATATATGTATATATTATTATTCCTTATGTTTATTGCAATAGTCACATAGATTTTAGAGTTTTTATACGAATAAAAAACATTAATGTTTTAATGAAATTATTAATTATAATTTTAAATAAGATTAGACTAGACTACATAATTATTAAAATATTAAACATTGAAATATTTGCGACTATTTAAATTTAATTCATTTTATTTAGGAAGAAACCTAATTAAAGGGCTTTCTGACAAATTCTTTATAGCGTTTAGTAAAACCAATACATTTATTAAATCAAAAATTTTTACGAAACAGTTTGTGATATAAAAAAGAATAAAGATAGGTTCGGCCAGCCGAAGCTTATATACCCTTGCAGATCATTCGTATTAAATTAAAAATTACAAAATGTTAAATTTCGTATTATTTTTTCTTTTCTTCCAGTGGCGGCTATAAAATATTGTCGTTTTATTGTTGTTAAATTTAATTCAAAATTCTGAAATACTAAAAAAGAGTCATATCCCAGAGTATAAGAAAATATAATAAAAACCAACGAAGCTATAATTTTATTCCAAATAATTTTCCATTAATTTTCCGATCGTTCCTATGACAGCTAAATGATATAGTCGTCCGATTTTTATTATTATTAAAAAAAATTATTATTAAAATAAAATTATTCCCAAGAGTAGAAGATAATATATTTTAAAAAACACCGAAGCTAGAACTTTTTAAACGTTTTTTTTTCGATCTTTCCTATGGGAGCTATAAGTTGTCCAAACCGGTCGGTTTCGACTTAAATATGCGTTCACTGCGTTGCAAACTTCTGACTGAAATCATAACACCTTCTGCAAGGGTATAAAAATATTTCGGTTAACTCCTTCTTAATTTGTAATCCTGCGTTAACGTGGTATTAACTTTAAAGTACAATAAATCGCCACACAATTGTTAAATTGATATTTTTGCAGTTGCTGCTCTATTTACGGCTGCACATCCGGAACCAGATGAACGATTATATGTTTTCATTGGGGCAGCAACTTTGGCAGCAATAACGAACAGTTAACCGTTGCTGGTAGGCGGATAGAATGCATTCGATCGAAAAGTTTTCATTATGTTTCGGAGAACTTACATGTCTACGGATGGCTACGGATCCTGAGCCCGGTGCCATGGAACACAGGCTATCAACGCTTCAGTTCATTTGTTTGCTGACTGTACGGATGTATGTGCTATATGTATGCCCATATCCACGACTGACCCCGCCTGACTGGATGTAACGGAGTGTGGGCGTACCAGTACCATTCAGTCAACTATTTAGCACTTGCACAGTAGGCAAATTGTCGTACGCACAGAGCCATGAAATTGAATTGTGAAGGCTGGAGAAGAGAAGGATAGTGCCAGGCGGAAAATATAAAAAAGTTGCCACGGAATTATACACATTTGCATTTTTAAAGTCCTCTTATTTCAACTTTACAATTCGTTATTGAAGAAAAGGTTTTAGTAACCGCTGCCCAGTAAATAATTTAATTAAATTTATTCAGGTAACTCGTGACGATTGCAGTTTCGACATTCTAAATTTCGGACATCAATTTTTGGGTGGGGCTGACAACATTATCTTAAATTTTCTCAAAGAACAAATTATCAACTATGGTATTTAATTATAATCCTAATCTACAGTTCAAACTTTTGTCTGAAGAATTCGCAGAGTCACTTGAAATTTTAATGCAGCGTTATGAATGTAAGTTTAGTTTGCAGTAATTTAGATAAGATTCTTACTTATATCAATACGAATTCCGACCGAAATCCGCTCTGAGAGATTTCTGTGTCGCCCCCGAATGTGACATTCTCAGACTGCGAAACATATATGTATAAGTTTCCCAGGCCAAATAACTGTGTTGGTGCTAATAGGCTTAACATGAGAAAATATAATGAATGAATGCTAAAAAAATGTTAAGAAATGGATTTCAATTTGATCACAATAAAAACGTTGATAAAATCGAGTTTTTATCGCTCGACCGCCAACATCGCAACGAGTTTCTTATTGGAAAATCGTAAGCGCATTAAAAAGCTAAACATCTTTTCCGGCCTCAACAAAGCTTATTTGTCGGGTATGGGATACCGTTCTTTTAGAGCCTATTCAAATGATCTTTGAATAAATAAAATACCAAAAAAAATGTACTTATAAAATTAATAAAATAAATTAATAATAATTAATAAATTAATTAATAATAAAATTAAAATAAGTACTTAAACATAAAAATTAGGTTGCTATTAAAATGCAACATTTTGGAAAAAATTAATGGATCCCTTAAGGAAATAGCAAAAAAAAAAAACAAATTTATTTTTAATTTCTTCCAGCAAACAGACTCATGGACCCACGTCGGGTTTGATCTATGTCGGTGTTTTATAAATGAACATATAAACCGCCAAAAAAGCACAAAAAATAAACATTAATTATTACAACATTGTAATAATATATGCCCGTGACCCAAGAAAATTCAGAGATATCCGATTGGGAAAATAGGATAACTTTATTCAGTTTTGCTGGAATTCGATTCGTCGTCAGCTGGCTCCTTTTGTCCACGTCGTTTGTCTACGTCGGAGCTTATTTTTTGATCATTCTGAAGAGAATGGTTAAGAGAAGCTGGGCATCTTCCTTCCCGAGGTCCTTGGCTGGGCCCGATTGAATACCCCTCGCCTCACTTTCAAAGCGGTCGAGAAACTCGACGCTAATCATGGCGAGCGAAAACTCATCCTGTCGGACTTCAAAGCGCCGCTTGATGACCTCCGTTGCCATCAGGAGGTCTGCCTTGAACTTCGCCAGGACGTGCTCATCCTTCAACCAGCTCGCCGCGCATTCCTCGATCTCCGTTAGGCGCTTCTTCGCGTTTCCAACCCATAGGACTTGGTTTGTTTTCACATGCGCAATTAAGATTCGCTTATGAAACACGCAATATGCTTCTGCAACTTTGCTGCGATTGCTCCCCTTTTGAGTGAAAAATAGAAATCAAAAATGTTTCACTCGAGAACACGTTGCGTGGGTGAGGTGAAAATAGAGAAAGAATTTCCCCTTGCAACACAAATGTTGCTGGCAACTTTTGTTGCATCCAAGAAAAATTTTACTTTACAATTACAATTTACTTTACTTAAAGTTGCTACGTTATGTTACGGCAATTAATTATAAGTATTATATATAAAATGTATATTTTTTAGTCGAATAAATAATAATTTTTCTTCAAGAGTTTTTTTTAATGCTATATTATAATATCGGTTGGAATAGCAATGAGATGGTCTTTCCCCTGGCGTTTCAGATCCCAGTGGACGGGAAATGGCATAACTAGGGAGAGGGTTTTGAAATTCTGGAAATTCTGAGGCCGAGAACGGGAAGCCAAGTAATATAGTTTCTTTACCGGGTGAAAGGATAGCGACCTTTATATAATTAGAAAAGCGCCCCCTGCAGGTTCGTCGATGGACTCTTGGATCCACCTGTTGGTAGTTTTACACTGGTGGCTCCTCCTAGCGTAATTACTCAGTTACTGAATATCGGTAGGGATCTAGCTATTATCGATTTTATTCTAAATTTTGAATATTTTGTTCGACTTGTTTTAAAAAGCCAACAGTTTTCCCAGCTTTATTTTTATTGGTTCTTCCGACCCAATCGGCTTCTAAGTAAAAAAAATTCAAAAACCAAATCCAAATAAATATTCCTTTAAGATGCACTTCTTTGTAAAGCAAAGTGGGATATTTTAATGTAATCATATATTTATGTATTGAATATTCCTGGCATATGTAACAAATATTTTAAGCATTTGATTCTTATTTTTTTAAGACTTAGTAAAGCGCAGTATTGTGTGATGAATCCCATTTGCAAAGTCGATATCAACAGACCAGACTGCCAGAAATGGATGGTCGAAGCATATGCCAAATGTCGGGATCTCTTCAGTACGCAATCATTTCCATCGTGGTGGCTTAACGATACCCCTGCTGTATATAAGGATGTAAGGGCCATGACCGCCGAAGATTGCCATCGGCTGAAACGGGAATTGGCCAGGGAAGTGGCCGAAGAGGATGGGGAGGTGAATAATATTGGTCTAGGAAGAATGGTGGGACTCTTTATGGCCATCGGTGCAATCTTTATTCTGTTCATTCTTCTTTGTGGAATGAAGCGTCAAAGCACAAGACCGACTGAGGTCGAAACCGCAAAAGTCGAGCCCCAAGAAGATCCACCCACCTTACGCCCCATGAAAAATAGAAATAAGACACCCAACTGCAAAAGCTGGATGCGCAGGAGCTGTCGACGCTTTTTCCTTCACAACGAATCCCAAATAAGAGAGTCGAAATCCAAAGCTGAGAGGGAGGTAGCTATCCATAACGAACGCACCCAGCGAAAGATTGTAGTGTGGACGAAAGCCGGGGAGCGGGATGCCCAAAAGAAAAGGGAAAAGCTTCAAAGACGTCTAGAAAAGGCCTCAAGAAAATAATGTATAATTTATAACATCAGTTTAATATATTTTGTAATAACTTTTTTAATAATTTTTTTTATTATTTTATTGTTGAACTAGAAATCGATTTTTATTTTCAAAAAATTTTAATACAAAACAAGTAAGGAAGCTAGCTTCGGCCAGCTGAAGCTTATATACCCTTGCAGATCATTCCTATTAATTAACAAATCGCAAAAATGTTCAATTTTCTAATATTTCTCATTAATTTTCCGATCGTTCCTATGGCAGCTATATGATATAGTCGTCCGATTTTGATTAAATTAAAATTGAAATTCGAAAATATTTAAAAAGAGTCAATTCCTAGAGTAAAAGATAATACAATAAAAACCAAAGAAGCTAGAATTTATTTCCTATTACTTTTCCATTAATTTTCTGATCGTTTCTATGGCAGCTATATGATATAGTAGTCCGATTTTTTAAATAATTAATTCGAAATTCAGAAATATTTAAAAAATAACATCCCCAAAAGTAGAAGGTAATATTTCAAAAAACACCGAAGCTAGAATTTTTTAAAGTTTTTTTTTTCTGATTGTTCCTATGGGAGCTATAAGATATAGTTGTCCGATCCGGTCGGCTCCGACATATATACTACCTGCAATAGAAAGAAGACTTTTGCGAAAGTTTTGTCCCGATAACTCAAAAACTGAGAGACTAGTTTGCGTAGAAACAGACAGACGGACAGACGGACAGATGGACAGACGGACAGACGGACAGACGGACGGACAGACGGACATGGCTAGATCGACTCGTCTTGTGATGCTGATCAAGAATATATATACTTTATGGGGTCGGAAACGTCTCCTTCACTGCGTTGCAAACTTCTGACTGAAATCATAATACCCTCTGCAAGGGTATAAAAATACATTTTGGTCTATAAAAGAATTTGTATAAAAACAAAAGGGAAATATTAAAAACATGGCAAACTAAAAAGGAATATGTCCAAAAATTTAAAGAAATATTAAAGTTTTTCCCAATCCGATTTGGTTTTATTAGCTTTATGATTTATTTTAGTCAGATCACAATTAATATTGCTGTCTTAGAATTACTGTGTTGCGCAACAACACTTCAAATGATACAAGCAACAAGGCCTCTTAAAAAATCGACTTATATTATTAAAAATTCTAGTGAAGTACTTGAAAAACATGTTGCACATAACAAACTCCTTGGAAAATAAATGATAAAAATTGGTCTCTTACAAATCGACTAACATTTTCCACTAAAAGTGTGCGTACTAAAAATTGATTCCGATTCCAGAACTTTTGTATACCTATAAAAAGCGTTTTTAAGGCAAATGTTGTAAGTCACGTTCTTGATTGCATACAGCGCCTAGTTTAACTTTATTTTGTATATATATAGTTGTAAATAAGTTTATTTATTTTATAGCCATCGAAAAGCAGCGATGAAAATGTCTTTTTGTTTGGACCTGGTACCAAAATCAGTTGCTCTTTAACCTATACATATATCAAGTAATTACTTTTGTTTTGTGTAACTGAGAACTATGTATGCCATTCGCTCAGTTAACTTTACAAGTATCTAATCTGCTCTCGTTTAAAGTTACTACCAAATAGCCGAGGATCGGTATGCCAACCATAAAGTTGTCGCCGTTTGTCTCAATGAAATAGTGTCGCGTTTTGGATGTGGGATCCAGATGATGATCTCGAAAAGGTCGCAGGAAGTTCTGAAAAGTATATACATTTTATAGTTTTAAAACGATTAGATTAGTTGGTGTATTGCATACCTTTCCAATCATGGGTAAATCTACCGATATATATATCACTTTATACTGAATGGTCCGATTTGAAAAATGTCTTCTACATTTCGATACACAACAAAATTACATTTATACTTCTCGAAAATCTTAAAAGATGTGGGCGCAGGACACATTTTAAAATCGTTAGAGGGCGATTGTGGACGTTAGAGGGGGCGTGGCGCTCGGCTGAAATAAACTTGCGCTGCGTAGGAGGCATACGAATATGTGTGGAAAATCTTAACCTTCTAGCTTTTGTGGCTTCCGAGATCTCAGCGTTCATACGGACAGGCAGACGGAGAGACGGACATGGCTGGACCGACTCGGCTAGTGACCCTGATCAAGAATATATATACTTTATGGGGTCGGAAATGCTTCCTTCTACCTCTTACATACTTTTGCACGAATACAATATACCCTTTTACTCTACGAGTAAGGGGTATAACCAGTCTATTCTAACGTTTTTTTTTCAAATGTATTTTATCTTGTCTTGCAATAAATAAGCCAACGTTTGTTTCTGTCAAGGATTATTGCTAATATTTACCCTAACGTATTCAGCGATGTTCTATTAAAAGGAACAATTATAAAATCGCATTAAAAATTACCTTTTCAATAATTTTCCTTTGTTACCCAAAGATTCGCACCGCATCGATACTAATTAATTTAAGAGGATTCCTTTATTGATTTAGCAGTTGGAAAATTTCTCGGTCTGCGGTCAAAAGTCTTTGTACAACAAATCATGAACAACATCTGGTTAGCGGTGACTGATTAGCTCTCAACCAGACATCGAAGGACATCAGTGGCGCAGTCGAAAGCCAATTCTCACTTTGTATTCCCAAGTGTGCAGGGTCCGTGTTTGCCGCCGTGCCTAAACAAAAGTCCTGGTTGTCCTGTCAGGAGCAGTTTAAGACCGACTGCGCCATACCAGCAGCCAAAAGCTCACGATTGAGTTTGTCCATCGAGGCGTACATTGCATTACATTATATAACAAAGGACAGTTAGCTTCGAATAGATTCAAGAGCAAGGAGTAACCATAAGACATTGTTAGGCAGGGCACAATTAACACTAGTTTACAAAAATAAAATTGCAATTTAGTGTATTAAATTGCAATTTTATTTTTGTAAACTAACTAATTGATTAAAAAAATTACAATATTTTTAATTAAAAATCGGTTTAACCGAACTCAAGTTAAGATACATGTTACGCTCCCAATAAATTTGGAATAAATATGTATGCCTCCAGATTTACATACATAGATGGAGCCAGGTGATATTCTACATAGCTATCTACATATTCATTTTCCTGCAACGATGTTACTAAACGTGTAATGCCTTTAAACCATTATTTCTAAATACATTTTAAAATAATGTTCAGATTTAAAAAACAGGCCAAAATCCAAAATTAGTTTTTAATCAGGGAGTCCAAAACCAACCAACATATTTCTGGACTAAATTGGAGGTTTAATTGTGTTTAGTAGTGTAATTAGATGGCAGCAGCGACCGAGAAAGGACTGCAGGCTTTTGTCAAACATTAAATGCTCCTTCTGGTCACTCCTTCTGCTGCTGCATTAATTAAAGATGGGTTGCATTATCGGTTGGCTGGCTCCATTCCCACAATTGCTGGAGTCCAGTTCATTGTGTTTTGAATTAATGTCAAAGTGTTCCAGTAATTGGGTAGTGCCAGAAATTTGGCCTCTTGGCAGCTGATTTGATTATTCAAATAGTCCCAATTAATCTGCTGTGACATTCTTGTGTTTGCCGAACCACAGGAAGACATTCAGCAGTTGATTCAGCACTTAAACACAAGACGTTAATATTTATAATCTTTAGGTATATCTTTTAACTAATAATCACCACATTAGGACATTTCAGTTACAAGCGAAACTCAAATATCGTTTTCTATTATTTATTTATTTATTTATTTATTAAAAGTATACGCAAAAATATTTTAAGTTCTAAAAACATACAATTAATTTCTAATAAGGAATATGGGATAGTTAGGTAGGTACATAAAATACACATGATTGTTGCTGGCCGAGTTTTGGTACTCGCCTGAATTCCTCGACTGATCAAACAAAGGGTAATTTTGATACAAAAATTTAACTAAGCTTTCGGTGTATAGAAGTAACGTAGTGCGACGACTCGTGAGTAGAATGCAAAATAATACTTATATACGAAAGTAATTTTTGAAGTTTTAAAACAAAGAAATTCGAATAAGTAATAAATTCGAAATTTATACAAGTTCGTGTTTGTGTATAGAGCATAGAATGCATTGGATCGTGTAATGAGCCTGCGTAGAACGTGATATTTTAGGATGTGCCGGGTGCTGCCTGTAATACTTTCGACCGAATCTGTTGGAAAAGACTTTCTCAACAGGAGCAAGAATTGAAGTTATGTAAAAAATTGTTGTCATCGTTTTATCTCACGCAATAATCACAGCAGTATTTAGTATTTTGACTTTTCTTTCAGCTTTATCAATTCTAAATAGCTAATTTTTCTATACAAAAATAAGTTAGTCTTTCTGAATGGTTCGATATCTTTCCCTTTTCCTAGTGAAATATTGAAGTAGTGTTGTAACCTTGTTGTTAGCCAACTAGATAAAATTGCAGTACAAACTCATTTCTAGACGAGGAAAATGACGAACGGGCGGGGAGAGCAGGGACTTCTAAATGTTTAAGGCCACTTAAGTACGGTTCTGATTCGATTTAAGTGAAGGTTGTTGATATTTGACCCTTGGTTAACTCTCGCCCTCATTTAGCCAGGTAGGCTGCCTTCAGCCTTTGATATTCCATAATTCGAGCAATTCCGTACTCCTGAAAAGTGAAGGATACATTGTATAATTTGCTTACAGATAACCTAACCAAAGGTACTCACCCAGTAACCAAACTCAATTGCCGATGTGACATTGATGACGGACCACAGACTCCAGAACAAATGGGACAGCATGGTAAAGAACTGAATCTCGGCATCCACCTTGTCCAGCTCCTGGCCAGTGGGGTTGTAGTTCTCGTCGTCGTGATACTTCTTCAGGTAGTTCACGATGAAGTCCCGCCGCTGCTGCACAGTCGCACAGTTCTTCGAGTTGTGGTAGTAGTAGGGGTACTGCGGATTGGTGTAGTCGAAGGTCCACTCGATGAAGTGATTGGCCAGATCGTAGCCACGGTAGTTGTACGCACAGTACTCAAAGTCAATGATAATGAGATCCGGCTCATTATCGGTTGTGAAGCTGGCATCCAGCGCTGAGTCGTTGGTGGTGTCCAACTCCGGGCAGGGCGACGGCGATACGCTGTGCGATTTGCTATATAATACGAATAGTTAATGGATGTAGTTAGCATTGCTTCGCAATTATCGCTCCAAACGAATGTCATGAATAACCTGTATTTTGTTTTGCTTTGGCCAACAAATTTATTGCATTTGACCAGCACACAATTTTTTAACTCAAATCACGACCGCAGCAAATTGGGGCCATCTAGAATTGTAGGTAGTTTTATACGGGTCTGGCAAGCAGAGACTTACGGCTAATGGGCCAATGGGCAAGTAGTTACTGGTTAGCAGGCCACAACAAAACAACGGGTTAGCAGTCTACTAATCTCTCGAAGGCTCGAGGTGTACTTACGTTGTCTCCGGTTCCGAGATGTTGCTGTTGCCATCAAGACTGTCGCCCAAGGTTTCGTCGAAATTGGATCTGTAAAGTAAATAACTATTAGCTATTGTAATATATTATATCAGATGATCTAAAAGGGAAATACAAATAATGTTCCCATGATAAATATTCGTTACTCAATTTAAATGTAATCTTTTTAGGCAATAATATAATAGGTTAAGCAAATTATTAGGCAATGAGATCATTCAAATTGTATCAGTCTCTAAGCAAATATTTTTTAGTTCAATAAACAAATAGATAATTGAATCAAAGTGTTTCGATAGTAGCATTTCAGCATATTGTGAAATTTTAATGTGGAAAATGGAATCAATAGGGTATTAACCCACCTCAAGCTACTGATCGACTCCCGCGGCGTGCGCTCGCTTTGACCAGCTGGCGGCTGTCGCAGCAGAATGTTGCCCTCCTGAAGATCGTTGTGGCAGAACACAACTGGATATTCCCCCTCGTCGATGACGGATCTCATCCAGGAAATCTCCAATCTCCAATCGAAGGTGCGCATCAATTCCATCTGCTTCTGCAGTACTGAGGATTTGGGCTTTGACTGGACATTGCCCTTTACAATGCTTTCGAGGCCGGAAACCCACCGCTGCATACAGTTCCATATCCAGTCCGGTTCCTTGGACATGGGTATATTGAGGCTGTGGATCTCGCCCATTTTCTCAGCCACTTTCATCAATATTCGCTGCTCTCCCAACTCCGCTGTGGTCAACGCACGTGCCTAGTTAAAAGATGAAAATTAAATGAATATAAATATTTTTTAGGCAATAAAACATAAAATGGAATGACCTAGTATAAGTGGTTACTACAGTTCATAACATAACTTATCGGAGTTTTTACAGAAATGTTTTCCAAAATGGTGTTCATATCACTTCTTCTTCCAAAAACAATTAACATTTGACAAATAAATAAATATTTAAAAGGTGATTAAAGGTTCCTATATCACAACTTTGTTCAATAAAAAGATATATCAAAAATATCCAAGCTAAGTCTCAAGTCCTCAAGTCCCCGACATACCGGAATATACTGTTCGATGCGTCCCCCGGGAAAGATGCCGTGCAACTTGGGTCCAAAGTTCCGCTCGCTAAGCAGGGCAAACACCACCGACTCGGTTATCATGCTCTCCAGCGCGTGATCGCCGTGGGTCTGTCCGTAGATGCGCAGCAGGACCTGAGGATTGAGGATTATGGTATTATATCAAGGGCGCCGGGTATTCCAGTGGATGGACGACCTACCTCACGGGGTTCCTGCTTGGGGGCGTGCAATCGTTTCAGCGAAGTCGCGTCGCGGCTATCGCTATCGAAGCGCTGACGCTTGTGCGCCTGTTTGGCGCTAGTCGCTGCGTCGTCATCGTCGTCGTCGTTATTTGCCAGTTCCGTGGCCACCGATGTCACGCCCACCACCTTGGCCGCCTGGGCTGCCTCCTCATCGTCGCGTGAGAAATCGGGGCTATTATTGGATAATGTGGCGGTGCCTATGACGTCTTTGCCGACGTGGCCATTTGCCTGCTGCTGCTGTAGTTGTTGCTCCTCCAGCTCGTCGAAGTCATCCAAGTCGGGGAGACTTACGTAATACAAGAAGTTTGACAGACCGCCACTGCAAGAAGGTAGTAAAAGGTTTGTAAATAAAATTTCTTTATACCACTTAAAAAAGTATTTCCAATATTTTAGTGAAAACTTCAACAAATTTTTAAGTAATAATACAAAAGATTTCCCAAAGAAATAAATAATTTAGAATTGTTCCCGATAAGTTTAAAATCACCAGATGATGGTTGCTCGACAATAACAACAAAGACCAAAAAATATCTTTAAGAACGCAGTCATAATTTTTAAAAATCGTGATGTTTTTACTGTTAGTCTCGTTTTCTTGTCTGTTTTTTAAAATTCAAAGTACATTAATTATTTAAACTAATGAAATGGAAGAGTGGAAGGTAATAACTTTTTTTATTTGTATAATTTCATGATTACTATTTCTTAGGATCTTGGAAATACATTGTTTAATACATTTTTCGACATTGAAGATCAGCAATTCGAAAATAATTTCCAAACAAATGTCTGGAATTTCCTGAAGTATGAACTGAAATATGGAAAAAACATTAAAGACTAGTTACCTTATGCGCTTCACCACCAGATTTTCAGGGGTAACCACCTTCCAACGTCCAGTTAGATAGTCCCGGCAAATGCGTGCGGCCGCATGGCGAATTTCCTCAAGGGTGGCCTGTGGATGAAAGAGTGTAAGGGGTGGTGGGTGGGTTTTATAAAATTAATGCCAGAGAGAGCAGCTGCAGGAAAGAGAATCCCGAAGAGAAGGAGAGAGAGAAAGGCGAGCTAGAAAATCGACAAAACAATTGGCCCTGGCGGTTGGTGGTGCACTAAAAATAACAAAAACACTGCAGGTACGAAAATGCAAATGCAATTAGAGGCGCAGACAGGCAAAAGTAAAACATATTGATTTGCAATCCCATTTAAAATTTATTGAAATTGGTTATAAAAGCAAAGGAACACCAATCGATAGTTCTACAGTGAGATTCGAAATCTAAAATCTATGTGCAATGTAAAATTAATTGTTCCGATTTGACCTAAACAAAAAGCGAAAAAGCGTTAAATACTCAAAAAGTGGCTTACATTTCGTTTAAAATGTTTATAGATATTATCATAGTTGCAACGTTTGCTCAAACAACAGTTCTGATCTATTTCATCCTGCTGCTGGCGACGTTTCAGTGCTCTGTTATTTCTACAAATTCGCTGTCTCATGCTACGCGTAGTAAATCCAAATATTCAAGTACTATATATATAATATAAATCGTATTATATAAATGTGAAAACAAGTAGCGAAGGCACACAGGAAGTCTTTCGGCTAGTTTCGGCTCTAAGCGATAAGTAGTTCGCAGCTGGGCGTACAAAAACAAACTGACTCATCGTTACAAGACCAAGACCCAGACTACCAGGGGTAGCCGAAATACAAATACGCTCTCGCTCTCTCTTTCGGCGGCTGTAGTGGTTCTGCCCCACCACCATAAACTAGGGGCGCCACCCCCGGGGTAAACATATGGTCACCTGCTAGACGGCTAGGTAGAAATCGAAAAAGATTTCGCTCGCTGAGATCCTCAACAGATGTTCTCGAAAATTCGTGGTGTGATGACAGGTAAAAATAGTGGGAAACGTGCCCGATTTGAAGGCAATTATTGCCTGTAATTCTTTCCCAACACGCTGTTATTGGCATTCGATAGATAAGATTAATATTTAACCGCACACTTGCTCGTAATCTGTAGCTCTAAATATGACATGGTCAAGTAAAATATACCACTTTATCCGATTGAATTTGAAATAGAATCGTTCGATGACCCGCACAGGCCATATCATTAATGCGTTAGTTCATTCATCCTTGTATTAAAAGATAAATATCTTTACTTTAGTTTAAAGACGGATTTAGTTACTAGGTAAAATATTATACTAAAATATTTTTACAAAACAAATTCCGGAATAAACCAGATCATCTTGAAATAATTTGAACTCCGACGGAAGTAGCGATCCCACTCTTACTTAATCCATGGAATTTTCCACGCAACTATCGTGAAACGCATGAAAATCTTCCATCGTACATTTACAAGAAAACGCACAACACACACACTCTTATCATGTCCGGCCAGTTTTGATAGTCAGTATTCCCCTTGCTGTTGTTTTGATTTCCTCGCTCGGAAAAGTGAAATCAAATAAACAATATAGACGCTATATGCTTGAATGTAAATATGACAGTCAAAATTACTATAATTAGGTAATTCTAGGTAAAACTAATTGTAGTACTTTTGCGCTACTATATGGCTAAAGGTATAACCGATAATTGGCAAATGGAAAATCGCCAGCACAAACGAGCACGGCACATGCCATTGTAAATAAATGGCAAAATGATTTCATTAGCCTGTTTCGGAGCCTTATCATTGGCATAAAAAGTTGCGTACTTATCAGCAAACTATTATATAAAGATAGCGAAATACTCAGTCACTCAATCTAAAGCCGTAATAAATTGTGCGTTAAGTGTGTAACTTGACGATTTATAGAACCACCTGAGGTATAAATCACATCCTTATCGCAAAATTGTTAATAATACAATAAATATGCAATAAGTTAGGTAAATATAATAAAATATCATAAGTTTGTAAAAAACTTTCAGATTTTTGGTTAATTTGTTTTAAAAGTAATCAAAAATGCCTAGCGCCACTGGCACTATGTAGGTCATTTTTTAAGTGATAAGCCAAATCACCGAAAAACAAAATGCAGCCGATAAGGTTTTGCAAACTTAGCTCCGTTCTAAACAATAATGACTTTGGACGCAACGTCACTTACGATTCGCCTAGAAACACTTCTAATTATTCCAAAAAAGTAACGTTTTCATGGATACAATATATTTAACTTGCTTATAAATCAACATATTTTGATCTGATAGCCCACCACTATAAATATAATTATAGGATAACACGTGATTTTATTTTTGATTTATGGACACTTGTTATTCGTCTGAATCTTATCTATTGCCATCAAGATAGCGCCTTAATCGGTTAGTGGGGTTTTATTATTAATAATGAGCAAATAACACCACATAATGGGTATTTAATTGTGCGACGAATTTAAGGCTTAATTCTGAGAAACGTGCACGCTGCAAATGAAATCGCAATGTAATAGAAAAATTAATTGCAATCTAAAATATAATCTATGGAAATCACTTTTCAAAATTCGTTTTAATAACTTTCGATTTACTGATTAACACTTATAGGCGTGCTAATTGGATTATTAACGCAATATATTTACAATCTCTATAAACTTTGCGAATAACCGACAACCGATAAATTATAAAAAAAAACCCAGATATAATCAGGGTAAGGGCTTACATATAGATGACTCAACCAAAAGCGGGGAGTATTATCTATCTTACTGCAATTGAGATCCTAACTGCGCAATGACAAGCAAAACACGTGACTTAATCTGGTGACTATCTAGCCGCAACAATGTTGTCAAATTATTTTGATCGCACAATCTAGCTTGGCCAGAGCCCACTTTTGAACACCGGGTGAGCGCCGCACGCAATTCAAAAACGAAATACACGAAATGACTATACCCCAAGTTACTGATAAGTGCGAATAAAGGAGGGCGGCAACGGCAATGAACGAAGAAGTGATCCACGAGTGGCGATAAGAAATCTTTCTGTGCGATTGCGAATCAGCCAGGAATCGCAAAAACTGTAAATGGAATGCGAGACGAGTCCAAGATAAAATGGGTTGTTTGATCGAGCCTTAGACCAAGTACTCAAAGACAATATACTCCCAATATAGACGTTGGTGTAGTGATAACAAGTCAATGAACCATAGAAGGACACATTTTTTACAATAAATATCGATTAAAAACACTGAGATGTTCGAATTGGGTCTTACAAAAAAAAACATTTGAAAAGGGAGTTAGGATCCCATTCCGTTTAGTATATATTTTAATGAATTTGGTTATATCCATGTACCAGATGCTGGAAAAAAATTTTTTTTTTTGCCTGAAAGCCCTTTCCTTGGGTTTATTGTCAGTAATAAGTGAAACCTCTCCAGTAAACAGCTACGATCTGAATACGCAAAAGCTCGCCACAACAACAGCGGTCATTGCACGAAAGGTGTGGGAAAAACATTGGCAAAACCCCACACACTGGCAAAGCGCTTGGGAAAAAAGCCTAAGCGGCGCCTGCGACTTTGGAGTCTCGGTTTTCTTACCTTTTGCAGGTTGGTGGACATCGTCCTCCGCTCTTTTAAATATTTATGCTGGTTTGGTTGGTAATTTCGATTCCGGAACGCAGCCACTGGCACTCACAAACACCAACAATGTGGAGCAATAATAAGGCACGAGGTTGAAGAGCACTTGAACGGACTGCTGTTGGCCGTTGTTTCGACGTCACTTGGTATTAAATATAGTTGCAACAACAATGGCAATATTGTATTATTAAGTACATGCGCGTATTCGGTTTCTCAGTCACAGTTAACGGGTTCGGGGCGTCTACTCGCGAGAACGCTTCAGTTTCGACTACTAACACTCGCCGCCTTCGATCGAAGCGCCAAGTAGAAAAGCTTTTTTAGTGGGAGCAGTGGGAGCAATTTCCGACTCTCTCCTTCTCTCCTTTTTTGCAATTCTTCGCTATCTTATCAGTTCTGATTTTTGCCCCGAAAAATACTGAAATACTTTTGGATTGCTTTCGAAACAGTAATTTTGTGAACTATTTCGAATCGAACTGCCAAATACATAAATATAAACAGAATTCAACACAATAACAATTTCAAACTACGTCTTAAGCGCGAAAAAAACCTGTTATTGTTTGAATCTGTTTCAATACGTTATGTTTTTGGCTTACACTTGTTTCCCTGGCCTCTTTCTAGGTCAAAGACGTTTTATTACGTTTCAAAATTATGTTTACAAAAGCTTTTCTGATGTTTTCCAATGAATTCGTGACGAGCGGCACGAGCGCCAAGACTGACTAAGCGTTTGTTTTATCAAAACTTTGTACATATATATATTTTTTTAAATAAGATGTTAAAATGTATTATACTTTATGCTAATTGTAGGTTGTATTAAATGTTTTATTTGCAAATAGTATTAAAACTTATCAAATAAAATGCAAGAATTCATTGTTTGTTCTTTAAATTACCCGCTCTAATTGAAATACACAATGGCAACTCTTTCAGCATGCGTTGCCAGTCCGTCGTAGACGCCAGTGTTGCCAACTAAAATACTAATTTCAAAAGGCCTTGCCAGACTGCCACAAAAACATTACAAAAACAAACGCGTTCAAAATAATAGGAACGGGTTTATAAACGTTTAGTTTTAAACTAATTTGATATGGTTAAACCAAACCATCAATGGAAATCCATTTTAGATGCTCTCTTTAATTTACGAAGGGGAAAAAACATTACCTATTTAGATCGTGTCCTTACAATTTACTTGTTCCCAAATTATGCTAAACCTTGCTTATAGAAGATCGAAACAACAACAGAAATTTACAAATGTATTTAAAACAGCAATCTTACTAAAAGCAAGGAAAGTTTTTAAAAAATGATTCATCCAACAAATATTTAAAAGCTTCCGAACAAAGAGCTTTCTTTGCTAACAAAATTACTAGAAAATTAATGATTCACGCTCCAGATCTTACAGATACATACTCATATCCATATATATTTTGGTAGAACCGAACTAAAAGAGCTTTTTCTAGAAGATTCCAGGTGAGATGAAATTCCCACCACGATTCACTCTTCTCCTTTTCAGCCAGCGGAGTACAGTAGAGTCCACAGTCCTCTTCAGCGAACACATAACCTTAAACTTAATCCAAGAATTAAACAACTTCGCATTCGTTTTTTGTATGTTTTTCTTCCATTTATTTTTGAATGTTCTCGAATTTTCTTTTAGCTGAATGCCGGTTTTTGGCCATTACCACTCTCGGGCCCTTTAACTGATTCATGTTGGTGCTGCTTGTGAAAATCGGCTTACTAACTTAACAATTAGTAAGGTTGGCTTAAGTACACGCCCCAGACAAACAATTTCGAGCGCTAAGACAATGGAAAGTAACGGAACGGAAAATTGCGAGTAAAACAGTTTGAAATCTTGGTTATAGATAAACAAAGATATGGTGGCAGAGACATTAAAAACACAAGTATTTTCTATGCCGTCGCCCGTCTATTCAAGAACTATGTATATTGTTTTGATTGCTATATAAAAATGTAATTTCTTATTTCGTTTTTTTTTTTTTTTTTATTGTTTCTATATGGTATGATTTGTTTCGTCTCTTTTCGCCACTTGGCAGAAACTTCTGGGGGTGTTGTTGTTGGCAGCTTGTTGTTACATTTTGCTGTTTTTGTAGTTTTGCTTGTTTCATATATATAAATATTCATACACAATATAGGATAAGGTTGTAAAATTAAAACTTTTAAGTGACAAAAAAAAGTTATTTTGCCTTTAAATTTCTTATTGTTGCTTTTCTTATTTAGAGATTTTGTTTGCAATTTTTTTCATTCGCTTCGTATTTATTATTACAAGTATTAAATTTGACGCTTTTTGTTTACAACTTTTAATCTTAAAACATAGAGGGTCTCGCATCTTAATTTCGCTTACTCTTTTTTCTCTTAATCTTTCGCTTTAAATATATACTTTGCTTTAAAGTTAAGTTTTTAAGTAAGTTTTTAAATGATAATGGATTTTTGTTGTTTCTCGTTTGTTTGTTGTTGGTTGGTTGTTGGTTGTTTGTTAGTAGAGACAGAGAGAATCGATCGGTACGCTTTAAGACTACGCTCCCATTGCAGGATTGTTATTGGAGAATTGCGCCCGCCCGCCCACGCAGCCCCCCACCCACGCATCATCACCCGCTCACACGTGCGGACGTTGGGTGGTTCGGTGCGCGTCGCTGGCGGTAGAACCGTAATTTGTGTGATTTGCGTTTGTTTGTTGTTGTGTTAGTAAGTATTTTATAAGTAGATTACTGAGTGTGCTGCTCCGCGGGCGATTCCCTTAGGCGGCCACTTCGCTAGCCTCGGCCCCGTTCTGCACCTCGTCCTTTGTGCTGGCCTCGTCCAGCTTCGCCTTCTTCTCCGGCGTGGCGACGGCCTCATCGGCCTTTGCGGCGGCCTCGTCCACCTTCCGCTTCACAGCCTCGACGACGGGAGCATCTGCAAAGGGTAGCAAAGGGAATAGAAAAGAGTTAGCTCCTGAGCGGGGAAATCCGTCGGTCTCTACTACACACCTGTTGAGTCACCGTTGGCGGCCTCCTCGGCGCCGTTCTCAACAGCAGCTGGGGTTGCTTCGCTGCTCTCCTTCTTGGCCTCCTCGCCATCGACGGCGGACTCCTCCTTCTTGTCCTCGTCCTTCTTCTCCTCCTTCTCATCCTCGGCGGCGGGAGCAGCGGCCTCGGCGGTCGCCTTCTCCTTCTCTCCGTCGACGGCATCGGCGGCTGCCGCGCTGTCGGCGGCCGGAGCTCCGTTCTCCTTGGCGGCGCTCTCCTCTTCGGCGGCACCGTTCTCTGTGGTGGTTGGCTTCTCAGCTGCTGCCTCCTCGGTGGCAACGGCGTCCTTCTTCACAGCATCGACTTCCTCAACTGCGACCTTCTCGACGACGGGAGTCTCGCTGTGAAATAAAAATATGTAGGTATAAGTAAATTTATTGTGTTTACTTTTATGTTAAAAATCCCTGTTCTTATTCTTTTTTGTGGCAGAAACCAAGACAGAGAATTTAGTTTTGCAAACGAGCGAGCAACAGTAACCTTGTGGTGCATGACTAATTTGAGTTACCTATTCAACTGTTAATGGTGTCTTATATCTTATCATAATTTTGAAATTCCTTATACAATTGCTAAAGTAAAAAAAATGTATTTAGAAAAGAAGAACTGTAATTAAAGTGGTTTAAAATATCAATTTCAATATTGTAAAATATATTAATTTCGATTTCGTAAGCTTTAACATTACGTTTTTCAAATAATGTTTACTGTACAATGTATTTTCAAGCAAAAGTAGAATTACGTATTTTTCAGGCCATTTAGTCATTTTCTTGGCCGCATACATCAGCACATACAGGGCTATTTCAAACATTCGTGAAATTGGAAAATTTTCCATTCTAGCGCCGGTAACGTTTTTGTTTCCTTGCTTCCTTCCTATTGCTACTCCGCATACATCCCTCCCTCTCTCTCTCTCTCTCTCCACCGACAACAACAGCACAAAGCATCATTGTAACATCTGCCGGCGTCGGCGTCGCTGCCGCAAAATGATAAATGGGAGCAACAACTCGTGCAAACTGCGACGCAAAATGAAACCAGAAAAGGTGAGCGTGCTCTTTTCCATATAAATGGCAAGCGCCCATGTGTGTGTATTTTCTCTATGTGTAGAAACAGACGAAAAGTGGGTAGCATAAAAGAGATGCTTGCAGACGACTTGCAAAAAGTAAAAAGCGCGACTTGTTTGAAATAAAACGGACAAGCGAAGAGGGGAAAAACTGGTTTTTATGCGGCTCGGCACACTATAGTTGTCTCGCTCGCACGCACCTACAGGCAGATTTAATGTGCGCGCGTCACGTAGCAAATGGGATAGAGAGGGAGATGACAGTGCGAGCGAGAGGGAGTTGCAAAGTGTGCAACGCAAAGCGACAAAAATAACGGTCAAAAGACACCCACTATGCTGTCCTTCCCCCTCCCCGTGCCGAAGAAAACCGGCACAACCTAAGACAACAGACAAAAGATTTAACGGTTTTTTCCTGCCATTTCTTTTCCACCCCCACCGATGCGGGGCGCAAAAGAAAACTTGAAAAGAATGCGGTTCATGAGCCGGCGAGCTTGCGTTATTTTTGGCAATGACAAAATACATGGAAGCGAGAACAAGAAATCGTCGGCAGTTAATGCCAAGCTTTGAGCTTTAAGCGAGCAAGAGCGTGTGAAACTCAACCGACAAAATTAATGGGATGGCGGGGAAAAGAAGCAAATGCTAAAGCAAAAGCAAACAGAGCCCGAAAAAAGACAGCTGAAATTAAACAGCACAAGAAAAAGAGCGGCAACTTGAATGCACACACAAACATACAATTTTGCGCACTTCGCTTGGCGCACGCACACACTCGCACAATCCGCTACTCCGCCGCCACCACCGCACACGCACACACAAGCCAATTCTCGTTGTCGTTGGTTTGCCGGCCGGAGAGTGAGCGAGAAGGCACTATGACGCCGCGCCAAATTCAACGGCGTCGTTATTTGCGCGCACACCTAAGGACCACTGGCAAGAGCGAGACAACCGCACTGTTGCCGCCAAGCGGTTTTGCGTATATAGACACACAGAATTCAAAAGAAAATTTTTCCAAACCGTTGCGGCGAACATCGAAAAAGATGTATACTCGCGAAATTCGCTGCAAATCCACTCCAATTCCATCCAATTGTTTAAACAAATGCACAGGCACACACAGACGCCCGCATACAAACGGCCAATAAAGTACTCACTTCTTTTGCTCAGCCACATCAGCCATTTTGAATTACTGTTGGTGTTTTACTTTTCGAAAAGCGAAGCGCGAAACACGTTTAGTTGCTGGTTTTTTGGTATGTGCGCCAAAAACACGACTCGAAGATCAACACGTAGTTATGGTCAACAACTGGCAAATTTTATAAATTTGTGCAAACTGCCGCTTCCTCTTAGTAGCTTTGCTAGGAAAGTCGCTGGATTGCTGGAGATTTAGCCGTACAAGTGAGAACGTCCACACAGTCACGAAGAAAAACGCCGAATGAGAGAGCGAAGAGCGTCGGGCCGGCTTTTAAAGCGGCGCGCTCTAGTGTTGGTAGGCGTCGGTCCTCTGCCCGCGATAGTTCTGCCCGGCGGCTTAGCAGTTTCCCTGGAAAACCGGCTTTTCGGGCAGAGGACAGAGGGGATTTACTTGATTAATATGCATGGGGCCTTCAGCCATTTGGCTATTGTTTTACGTTTCACAATTGCATTGTCCCCACATTGTTGGCGCTTTATTTGTAAAAAGCTAACGGACGAACAGTCAGTTGAGAGCTTTGAGAGCTTGCGGCGTATTTTTGGGCGTTAGTCAACACCAAATGAGAGCGGTCATATCCCCGAGAGAGCTAGAGGTGAACTTATTCTGTGTCACGGTTATTTTATTAAAAGCCTAATCATCGTGTGAATAAAAGGATTGTAATAAATTTTTTATTTAAAAAAAATATTTATCTTTAGGAAAACGTTAAGGAAATATTAGTCATTCTAAAATGTGTTATATTTTCTGATACAAAAATAACTATTTTAAAATCACGGTTCATCTCTAAAAAAAAGGGTTGTCAGCTTTCAAGTTTTACTTAGCGACATTGCAAATATTTTTGTTTTAAAGTCTAAAACATTGGATTTGTCTCTTCCTTTTACCTGAGAATTCAGGGTCGTTTTCAGGTAAAGGTTTCCTATCAAAGGCGATGGATTAGGCAGTCTCACGTGCCATTATGTCCGCTCAGGGATTAGTTTACTCAAGAAAAGAAAACATTGATGAAGGACAGATGTTGCGGGATCAAGATGACCCACGAGAATCCAGCTGCATTTTCAGCTTAGAATAATACTTAATACTAAGTGTGCAAGTATTTTAGGCTTGTCATAACTAAATTAATCGACCGGTTTTACAATTACGCAGTCGTCAATCAATCAAAAACATTCGTATCACAGCAGGATACAGCAATTTTCCCGCCCAAAACCTTTTCCAGGTAGTCAGGTACGTAAATGGCCTTGCCCGCGTTTCGGATCGGTTTAGTACAAAAATGAAATGGAATGCACTGCCAGGCAGCTGCTGGAAAGTTTCGTTGTCTGGCTGTGAATTTGGTGCACATGTCTCCTTTATTTGGGCCTCTGCAGCTGTCCCTTAACATTGGAAATTTTGTACACCACTTACACTACACTGCCGGACAAAAAAATAGGAGTGAGATTATGTTTTGTGGGAATATGGCAGTAATTTATAATAATTATTTTTTTCTCACCTTTTGTGGTTATTAAGTAATTACTAACATGTTTCGTTTATCAATAGTACAAACTAGAGCTAAAAGATTAACCAAAACCAGTATAATAATTTCTGTTTTATTTGAAGATCAAATAAAAACACCTCTTAACGAGGTAAAAAACTAGTGACGATCGCACCTTCAACATACAAAAGTTCTGATATCAACATTTGTGACGAAAAATTATTACACTCGTCATTAAATAGACTTTCTAATATTTTCTCATTCGGCCCGCCCTAGCAAACTATTCAAGCCTTTTTCCCTTCACAGGCATTTTCTATTGCAGCGTGCCGAATGAAAAAATATTAGAAAGTCTATTTAATGACGAGTGTAATAATTTTTCGTCACAAATGTTGATATCAGAACTTTTGTATGTTGAAGGTGCGATCGTCACTAGTTTTTTACCTCGTTAAGAGGTGTTTTTATTTGATATCAGAAGTTTTTGTTTGTTTACATTTGCTCTCATAGGAGCTATAATATATACATTTAAATTTAAATTGGTCAATCATAATTTGTAAGCCATTGTATTTAAACAAATAAAGTTAAAAAGTATTTCAAAATACCTTTTAAACGAGGTATGGCACATGTCTGTACCTTTAGTAGTGTAGAACTTACAAACTAACGAAATTTAGCCATTTTTAGCTTTTTTTCCCGCTAAAGTAGCGGCTTTTTCCAAAAGTCGTAGAACAAAAGATTCCTATATGGAACTCTTAGGTGCAAATTTACTGATTCCATGACCCTAAAATACAGTTCGGATACCCTCACACAAAATTCAATACTCAGGGAGCGTTAATTGTTCGAGCTGGCAACAGTGGCTATTTTCGTATAAAAATAACTTTTAAACGTGACTTTTTACAGTAATGTGTTATATACCAAAATTTAAGGAATCTCAAGGGCTATACAGTTTAAGGTTTTAAAGAAAATCGTTAGAGCCGTTTTTGAAAAAAATAAAAAAAATCTAAAAAAAAAGTTTTAAAAAATTGTCTTTTGTTCATATTTGTTTAACTATTACATTTACACAAATTGCATATAGAAGGCGTTTATAGCATTTCAAAATACCTTTCAAACGAGATGCAGCACAAGTCTGTAGCTTTAGTAGTATAGAAGTTACGGCTTTCCGAATTTTAGCTATTTATAGCTGTTTTCCCGCTAAACTAGCGAGTTTTTCCAAAAGTGGTAGAAGAAAAGTTTTTGATATCGATGTGATGAACGTCATATCAAATTTTCAAAACTTAAAAAACATGTTTTGGACAAACTGACAAACTGACAAACTGACAAACAGAATTAAATTTTCATTTTGGGAAGATGAAGAAAATCTTATTTTGGCTATAACTTTTGAACGGAGCGTCGGATTTTGACAAATGACCCCTCATTCGACGGGTATTTTTAAAAGGAATACAAATAAAATATTGCGAGGGGGCATTTATCCCCACCGGCCCCAACAGCTCCAAATTTCGAAATTTTCACTTTTTCACTTTCACCGCTCTCTCTCCCAAGCCAATTGATTTTCTTAGAGTCTTGGTATGCAATCCTGTTAGTTTTCGTAATACCTTTCGATAGGTGTATCATTCATTATGATCGGACCATCACAGTAGATTTTCATTTCTTCGTGTATATATAGTAGTCGCCTTCGCACACTCTCCTGGTGCGCTTCGTCACTACATGGACTGCCGTCCATAGTGATAAAATTAAAAAGGGAAATAATGAGCAAATGACATAAAACAATTTAATTAACCTATGTACGTACAGTGTAACTTCCACTTTAGCTTTTTGCTACAAGTCTTTTAAAAACTGCCTTTTAAAATAAAAACATTTAATTTATACAATTTAATGGAAATCTCGAAAGATTTATGTTTGTGCTACCTTTTTCGAATATTAATTGTTATAATGTAAATACATACATTTGTATGAATGTGTATTACCCAACGTACATACATATGTACATCACCCCCATCTTAAGGAAACAAAACGTCTTCCGCTTTATTGTGCATTTCCTTTGCATCTGCACCCGACACAGACACACTCGCACACACACTCTCTCAGCCAGCAGCTGCACCTTTTTCAATGCCATTCAAGGCCAGCTGCAGCCTTGCGCTCTTCCTCCTTCTCCGCCGTTCGATTACCGTTCAGCGAGAGGCATTATTAATGCTCCTGTCTAATTAACTTTATGCGCTTGCGGTAATAATCGGGCTATTGGGCAGGGGCCACATCCACAGATGCAGGGCGCCTTATCAAGCTGGCCCAGCTGTACCGTTATCAGTGGCATGCCCCGCTCGCGGACATGCGCCGACATGAGTGAGCTTTCAGCCGCGAAAGCTCTCTCTCGCTCGCTCCAACTCTGAGCCGGGAGAACGCGGAATAACGGAAGTCCTTGCTGCTGGGGCTTGTTGACTGTCGAAAATTTTCACCCGACAATCAGTCAAGTTTATCGGGCGCCTTAGTTTAGTCGAAGGAAATCGCGCGGCGCCAAGCGTGGAAAATCGCCAGGCAGCAGAGCACACAACTCCAGCAGGAAAAACTGAAAACTGAACACAACGAAAAAAGGGAATAATCAGCTTCGGGCAAAGTATGTTCAAGGACCCCCCAGTTAAATGGTGCGAAAACAGTGAAAGAGGCAGTGTGAAGGCGGAAAAAGACAAACTGTACATGCCATATAACGGTTATCGCAGCCTCCCAAAAGCGTTAAAAAAAAGAACGAGGACGGAAGATCGGGCTTTATGGGCTGTGGGTGTCAGTTATTTGGATTAAAATTAAAATCGAATTCCGTCTGCAGTGCAATAAGAAGTGTGTGTACACACACCCGCGCAGCTATACAAACAAAATCAGAACGCATTAAAACGAACCTTGAGCAAATCAGCCTTACCCACACAAACACGAACAAACACATGTACGCGCATACCTAGACGTAAAAAGGATTTTCCGTAAGGAAAAAGAAAGGAGTCCGTCAGTCGAATATTCGGCAATGAAGGAGGAAGGGGGAGGGGAAAGGAAACGGCAGTCGAATGAAGAGGAAGCAGTGGTGGTGAAAGCTGGAAAGGGAAAGAGAGCGAACGCGAGAGAGCGGAGAGATTCTCCTATTACCGTTACGTTACCGTGGTCTGTGCGGGTGTCGAATGCGGTAGAAAAATGCATAATTTATTCATATCTGGGGCAGGCAGGATGGGGCCGAGAAGGCCGTCCTCTGCATGAATTTTGACAAGTCAATTTCAATTTGTGGCTAAAATAGAAAACTCAATTTTCCCTAATTAACGTTCAACGGAAATTGACTCTCTGCATTCGGGACGACGGAAGAGGAGCATATTGCAAGCAGGATATTGAGGTTTTCGGGGAGGTCGCGATTTGTGGGCCCAGTGACTGACATAATTTTCATAATGTATTCAGGTGATAAGTGTGACATTTAAATTCTACTACTTTTATGTAAACCGGTTAATCGCTAACAAAATATTATCCATTCTTTATTAGTTGTATTATATCAAACTTTTGCCGTTATAGGCTAGATAGCGGTAAATATAATTTTAAGAGGTTCAGTGCTAAGTAAATGTTTCCTAATCTTACATTTTGCATTCTTCGCCCACACATTCAAAAAATTTATAATCAACTAATTCAAATTGTTAGGTTATCGCTAGGCGAAGCCGCAGGGGAAGTGTCTAAAATTTGTCATTTATTTGCAGCATGTGTCAGGAGATAAGAGTGGGGCATTTTTCAGACAACTCTTATCTTAATTTATTTCTGTGGGCCGGACCAAGCGATGCGAATAAAATG